TCTCTATTCTCTTCAATTTGATTTTTAAAAAGCTGTAAAAACTTGTATGGAATGGATTGTTCTACTCCATTTCAGTCATATGCTCTCTTACGGAGCATGGGGGTGGCTCAGGCAACCTCCCTTCTCTTTCTTTTTCCCCTTAATTTGTAAATAGGTGGTTTTGTGCGCCCTTTTTTAATAAGCCCTTAAGTGCTAATTGGACATGTGAGTGTAATTTGTTAAGCTAGCACGAGGCATTTTTAACAGTTCTGTAGGTACTCTTGCAAATGTGAACTACAGATGTACTGTGGTTTTTCCGATTTCCCATTCTTAATGTAGGTATTGGAGTGCTTCTTACCCCTGATTCCTAGTGACACAAAATAATTCTAACCTTTTCAGGTTGATATTGTGGGAGAGATGCTACAAGAAATAAGTGAAAGTTAGGATGGAAAAGGTTGATTAGGTTGTTTTGGTTTCTTAAAACTCCTGTATTCCAAGCTAATTCAGATCTTGAAAATATCTGAAGAGTTTGTATGTGACCAGTGCACAGCATAGAGTATCTGAGTGTGGAAAATAGCCAGTTCTTAAATTGTGTTTCTCAGTTGGTGTGGCTGAACTTAGGAGTTTGGGTGAGATAAGACTTTTGAAAGAAAGGTTAAGTGGGAAGAGGGAGCAGTAAGCTGGGTAAGCAAGAAGGGAATTCTTGGCATCTGTTCTGTAAGAAGCAAGGGCTGGGACTGGCTGGGTGTCTGTGGAACATTGAGTTGTGGCATACAGTCAGTGCAGGGGCAGGGACCGTTTTGGGGAGGTGTCCTCCAGGATATATCTTTCTCAGTCTAAGCATTATGTAGTTGCCCTATTCAGTGGCTGATGTCTGATATTTAAAGAACATCCCAGAGATTCTAAATCTTCTAGGAGTTACCTAGTTTTTACCACTTCAGTTGTGCAGCATGTGCACAATTGAAGTCTCTGGATGCTTGGTGGTTCCATTCATGCTGTTGCTTTTTGTGTGTGCGGGCATATTATCACTTAGTGGAGCTTATCTTTGGGGCTTTTTTCTGTTCCTCCATGTTAGCAAACTAGAACAGCTCAAATAATGCATTTAACTTAATTATCCAGGTAGAATACTAAATATGGAAAAAAAGTTATGTCAGCCTAGATTTGCTTGTTTGTTTAGAGTATTATGGTTCTAACCTTTTTAACCAGGAGGATATGTGTGTCTTGTACAGATTTGTTAGCTTTTATTTAAATGTCACTTTATTCCAGTGTTGTGTTTGGCAGACATTTGTCATTCACGTTTCTTGTTCCTTATTCAAACCCTGATAAACTGTTAAATTAGATGTTTTCTTACTAAGCAGCAGTGAGCATGAGTGTTTCAGTTTTTCTCCCTGCGTCTAGTTTTGAAGTGAGATGTAATGAGCGTAAGGTGAGAAGGTGCATGGTAAGCCTGTGTGTTCTCTGGGTTGTCAGGTCTGATCTTTTCAGAGTATTCTGAGCACTGTTTTGGAATATGAAATGTAGCTCTTGTTGGCATCAATACTTCACTGAATTGTGAATGTTTAGAACAGTCCAGTAGCTTTCACTTAATGACCAGGTTATGATGAACTTGTTCCTCTCCACTGACTCTGGTTTTCCTAGCATTACAGAACATTGCAGTCAATAAGTATAGGAGAAAGTCTGATCTCCATGATGGTAATTGCCTCCTTCAATTGTGAGATTACTGTATTTTTCACTGTAATCTCTGGTTTACTTCTTGTGTCTTCCAGCTTGTGAGAGAGATCAGACCGTGAAGTTACACTCAAGTCCAGATTGAGGTTTCTGAGAGCAGAAATTTGGCATGATGGTATTCAATTCATATGTTTCAATAGAACTACAATAACCTTTGCAGGTTGTTTACTACATAAGAGAACTTTTCTTACATGGAACTGACGTTGAAGATCCTCTGGGTCATTGTTTTTTTTTTTTTTTCAGAGCTGTTAATTTTGCAAACAGTGGCAATATCTGGCAGAAGTGCAGCAGTTGTTCGTTCTAAGAGCAGAATGGGCTTCTGCTGGAGGACTACATAGAGTGTTTTTGCATACAACTTATTTCTAGAACTAAGACATTTGGTGTAGTGAGCTTGTTTAGTTCAGTGAGCAGGGATTTCCTGTCATTCTTATAAATCAGTGTTAGAATGTCACAATCAGTGTGAAGAGATCTAAGAGTTCTTCCCCCATTCATCTCTGAAACACTTGAAGAAGAAAGGCTTTTTTTCATCAGACATTTATTGTTTGCACATCTAATTTGTAAATGTAGACAACCTTTCAAAATTTGATGTGACCACTCTTTCCTGTTTTTTTTGAAATCTGCTTCTGTACAGTGACTGTCTCATGAGTCTGTGATATTCTAGTTAAATCTGAGTTATTTGGTTAGTAATGAATGCACAGATGAATCACACAAGTGTTGAAGTGTGCTTTTGAAGCAACTAAATCAAATTGCTGTTTGAGTTCAATAATTTTGTTGTCTTGTTCATGGCTGATGGCCAGCTATCTATAGTTTCATCTGTGTCTACACTTGAACATTGGAAAAGGCAATGATTTGAGAAGATTTGTTGAAGTAATACTATACTAAAAGCATGAGTGAAAGTCCTGTGGAGAAGGACTTGGGAGTTGTGGTGGATGAGAAGTTTGCTGAGAGCCAACTGTGCATTTGTAGCCTGGGAGGCCTGCGGTACCCTGGGCTGCGTTAAAAAATGGGTGACCACAGGGTGAGGGAAGTGACTCTTTTGCTCTGTCTCTGTGAGGACCCATCTGGAGTACTGTGTCCAGGAATGGGGCTTCCAGCCCATGAAAGACATGGAGCTGTTGGAATAGGTCCAGAAGAGGCCAGGAGGGGCTGCAAGCTTGTTTCCTGCCATGGAATGTTGAGGGAGCTATGCTGATCATGCTTGGAGAAAGATCACTGGGGAGACTGTGTTGCAGCCTTCCCGTACTCAAAGGGAGCTCATAAATAGGAGAGAGAGCAACTTTACATGATCTGATAGTGATAGGACAAAGGGGAATAGTTTTACGTAAAAGTAGGGAAATTTACATTGGATATTAAGAGGAGATTTTATTACTCAGGGTGGTGAGACACTGGAATGGGTTGTCTAGAAGGACTGTGGATGCCTCATCACAGGAGGTGTTCAAGACCAGGTAGATCTGGTGGTTGGCAGCCCTGCCCATGACATGAGGGTTGGAACTGGGGTGATATTTAAGGTCCCCTCAAGACCAAGCCTTTCTGTGATTAGGGCACATTATGCTATTTAAGGGCTAGAATAGTCCTGGTTCTGGCTTCAGAAGAGTTAATTTTTCTCATAGCAATCTGTTTGGTGCTGAGTTTTAGATTTGGAACCGAAACAGTGCTGGTAACTAGTAGTGTTTTTGATGCTGCTGAACAGCTCTTGCACAGCATCATGGCCTTCTGTTTTTTACTCTTCTCTGCTGAGTCTGGGGATGTGGCAAATGGCTGGAAGGAGACACAGCCAGGACAGCTGACTGCCTGACAAAAGAGATAGTCCATACCTTGTATTGTCATGTTCAGCAGTAGCATATGGAAAAGAATCCAAAGTAACCATTGCTCAGAGGCTGGCTAGGTATCCCTCTGCAGGATGAGGATGGTGAGTGGTTGCCCTTGCATCATTTGTGTGTTTTTCTTTTTTTTCCTCTCCCTGTTCCCTCATTTACTCTCTACCTTGACACTGACAAGTTAATTTTACCTGTCTGATCTCTCCACCATCACGGTGGGGAAGAAGTAAGCAACTGGGTGGGAGTTTAACTGCTTTGGTCAACCCACCTGAGTAAGATAATAGTTTTCAGATGTATAAAACTTTCTGCAATCCTGTAATTCAAATGTATTGAATTATGACATTGCCTTATTTGTATTCACTTTAAGCTTTTCCATAAAGATCTTGCACTGGCAAGTCCAGTAAACTGATACAAAAACCTTAGTTTAAACCAGAGAAATTACATACGTGGAACAAAGCACCATGTGGAGTAAGTACAGTTTTTACTTATATGAATATGAAGTTTGGTTTCTGGTAAGTAGCGGAACCAAGCCTGTCTATCTCTACTTAGGAATAAAGGCCCCTCTACTCTGCTCTTTTGAGGCCCCATCTGGAGTACTGCATCCAAGTGTGGAGCCCCCAGTACAAAAAAGACAGATGATCAGGGGACTGGAGCACCTTCCCTATGAAGGCAGACTGAGGGAACTGGGCTTGTTCAGCCTGGAGAAAAGAAGGCTGCGGGGTGACCTCATTGCAGTATTTCAGTACCTGAAGGGAGCCTACAGAGGGGAGGGAAGTCAACTTTTTGAAAGGGTAGATAACTGCAGGACAAGGGGAAATGGTTTTAAGTTGAGGGAGGGGAGATTTAGGTTGGATGTCAGGGGGAAATTCTTTTGGTGAGGTATTGGAACAGGCTGCCCAGAGAGGTTGTGGATGCCCTGTCCCTGGAAGTGTTCAAGGCCAGTTTGGATGGGGCCCTGGGCAGCCTGGTCTAGCATTAAATGAGGAGGTTGGTGGCCTTGCATGTGGCAGGGGGGTTGGAGATTCATGATCCTTGAGGTCCCTTCCAACCCTGGCCATTCTGTGATCATTTTTCTTAAGTGCTTTTCCTACTCCTGGAGGTTCTATAGGGACTTCTAAGTAGGAAAAGCCAAACATAAACCAAGCTTTTTCTTCTATTGTGCTCTTTGTTGGTTGTATAGTTGTGGAGACCAACAGTCAAAATAGCAGCATGCAGTTTTGTTCCCTTCTCTGCTGAGAACATTTTTTCCTTATGAATTAAATGCATGACAGATGGAGTTTGTGACAAACTAAATTTGGAAGAAGCTCTGAATAGAACGATGTCAGGCTTAGAGGAAGAGGTGGATATTTACAAGTTTTTGTATTTTTTTGTGAAAGTAACTTTTTGTTAAACAAAAGCTAAATTTTATGTGCTGTAAGTGTTGTCTCATTTCTTATATACATGTCTGTGCATTTACAGAATTGTCTTGTCTTCTAGGATCCTTCGGTTACACAAGTGACAAGAAATGTTCCTCCTGGACTAGATGAGTACAATCCTTTCTCTGATTCGAGAACAGTAAGTATGTTTATGTTAACTATGCTGTTGTAGGTAAGATTTCTGGGTTATTGTTTTCAGAATTTGGAACAGTTATGTAAAATATGTGAAGAGCTAGCTGAAGGTAACGGAAGATCTGTAAGACATACCGTCTCCAAAGTATTTGAGTTTTAGTTTCAGGTAGAATAGAATCATTTTCTTCAGAGTGTCTGATACAATGCCATGTTTTGGTTCTGGGAGAAAAGCAATGTTGATAACACACTAGTGTTCATAACTGTCTGCTAAACAGTGTTGTATAGAGCCAAGGCCATTCTCAGCAAAGGATCCAAGGAGATGGGAGGGAACAGAATTAAGATCACTGACTTAATTGCTATATATATTAATATATAAATGTCATAATCATTAACCTTTTCTCCATCTTAGTAAATAGTTTTACCTCAACCCATGCGTTCTGCTTTTTTTTTTTTTTTAATGGATTCTCTTCCCTTCTCACTGGAGAAGGGGGGAGTGAGCAAAGCAGTGTGGTGCTCACATTGTGGGCTTGAGTGAGTTTTGATCTTGAGGAATGTGGCTTCCTGAATGAGTCCCAAAACAAAAATGTTTTTCTTCTGTTCAGTGAGGTTTCTAGTAGTCTGTCCTTTGTGCTTTTTTGAATTTTTCAGTTCTTTAATACTGAAGTTTTTATAAAGAGTGTGGCATACTAAGAAAGTATCTTTTTCACATAAAACACAGAATTTAACTAATAATTCTCAGACTATGAATAGTTTTATTGTTACAAAAGGAGTAATTTATTCCTCAGAAACACAGCATTGTCTGCAATTTGCGTAGTTTCTACATTGTCTTCTCTCAATAGATTTGATTCTGTAACGTTTTTAAGTGATTATTTCTGACAGTGAAGATCTTGTGTGAAATCTGCATAATGTATGGGCAATTACTATCTATCAGTATAATTTCCAACAATAAAATACTATATTTTTCAAATTTAAACTTTTATTTCCTGTGGCAGATCTTAGAAGTGCTGCTCAGGGATATTGGTATCCCCATCTTGGCAACACAGTGGCAAGGTATCATATAGTATTATAGTGCTGGACTGAAAGCACTTTTTTTGAGCACATTTGGGTCATCTCTTAAATGAGATGTAGTTAGAACATGCAGCAATATTAAATAAGCCCAGACTTTTTTCTTCTGATTTGTAGCATCACAAATTTCATCAGTTTTTCTTAGCTTGGATATAGCATGCATATAGCATGCACTTTGAAATGTATATATTAAAAATCTGAAAAAATCATTAGAGGAGTATTCTATTTTTAGAGGCATATATTCAGTAAATTCCTGGATAGCTCCCCATCTTTTTTCATCCCAGCAGTGAACATAAAACCAGACCCATCAGTTAGTTACAACTGACTTCTTTTGAAAGTTTTTGTTTTACTGATAAATACAGTACTTCATGCTTACGGAGAGATGTGCTTACGGAATGTTCTTCTTAGCATTCATCTCTTGCCAGCCTATTGCCTTCAAGGGAGGTCATATTCATTTGCTTCTTTGCTCATTACAGCTTTGACAGAGAAACACTGAAATAAAAATCCGTCTAGTAAGTACAGTTTGGGATAGCCATGAAAAGCTGTGGGTTGAATTTCAAGATACAAGTACCTTGTAGTATTTGTCTGTCAAGATGAAAGACTATGGATGGATCTGTGTAGTAAAGTCTCTGTAGAAACGGACAGCATTATTATCCAGTGATGGCCAGAGGTCAGTGCAGTTCTTGCAATACAAGTCTGAATAATTAGTGTTAATTACCTTATAAAAGGTAGTTTCTGGCTGTGTTTCTCTCTGCTAATGCTTCCTCAGTCTCATCCAACCTGTCAGTCAGATATTTCTCTTCCCTACCCAAATCCCCAGTAGCACTTGGAAAAACAACTGGTAAGCACCATGTCACAGATGGCAGTGGACCTCTGGAAGTCATTCTTCAACCCTCTAATCAAAATGAGTCAGTGTACCATGTTGCTTATCTTATCTTATCCTGTTGAGTTTCGAATATATCAGAGGATGGAGATCCTACATGATATTGCTGGGCAGCGTCTTCCAGTGCTTGATAGTTCTAATAGTGAATAGCTAGCTAGTTACTTGATAACTAGTGTGTGAATGTGGCATTGCTTTCAAAGCTGCCTCAGCGTTTTTAGTGCTGGAAATTCTGTGTCTATAAAAACCAAAATAACACAGGAGAAAAGAATATGCTCTTCTGCTTATTTAGTACTGTTCTGTGCACAAAGAAGGAAAATTGGTTCTGACAGATTTTTGCAATATCGAGCATTCACAGGTAAGCCAGTAGTCATATACAGAAGGAAGAGTTGAATGTACGCAACTGGCTCTCTGGCTGTGCAGCAGTTTGTTCTTCCTCCATGTGGGGAGTTATGGAAAGATGGTGCCTCATGAGAATATTTTTACAATGCTTTGCCGTTTTTACATAATTTTTTAGTGCAACAACTTGTGAGTGCTTTACCATTTGAAACTGTGAAGAACTTATTGTAAGCTAATGTTCCAGAAGGGATTTTATTAGGATTGTTTTGACTTTTTAAATGAAGTTAACTAAATTCTTAATTGAGCTGATTTTATAAGATGTGTTATTTAGAGAAAATCTGTGCTTAATCTGTGCTTGGAAAGTAATACAGAATGAGCTTGTGGAATAACTTTCTAACTTCCCACAAAGATGATCAGGGGACTGGAGCACCTTCCCTATGAAGACAGACTGAGGGAGCTGGGCTTGTTCAGCCTGGAGAAAAGAAGGCTGCAGGGTGACCTCATTGCAGTATTTCAGTACCTGAAGGGAGCCTACAGAGGGGAGGGGAATCAACTCTTTGAAAGGGTAGATAACTGCAGGACAAGGGGAAATGGTTTTAAGTTGAGGGAGGGGAGATTTAGGCTGGATGTCAGGGGGAAATTCTTTTGGTGAGGTATTGGAACAGGCTGCCCAGAGAGGTTGTGGATGTCCTGTCCCTGGAAGTGTTCAAGGCCAGATTGGATGGGGCCCTGGGCAGCCTGGTCTAGCATTAAATGAGGAGGCTGGTGGCCTTGCATGCGGCAGGGGGGTTGGAGATTCATGATCCTTGAGGTCCCTTCCAACCCTGGCCATTCTGTGATAATAACTGTGTACAGAACTCTAAGTCTTATTGCTTTGTCTACAAGATAATGAGTGGTTACTTTGACTTCTCAGAACATTTTGTTTACATGTATGAAGGAACACTCTTGAGTACCCTGTTTGCGTTAAGGCTTAATTTCTGTTCTTCCTACTTTTTTGTTTGCCCTTTATGCACTTTATTGAACTTCTGTTTCTCCAATAATTGCTGAACATTAGAAAATACATTTGCAGGGAAATTAAATTATTTGTGCTGCTATGAAGTAGATAAGTGGTTCCAGGTAATACTGCAAATAGCGATTTACACTTCTCTTTGATATTATCTTATTACTGCTGGTAATGGTCCAATAATAAAAGATCTTGGATGCTAGCAGGACTTCTGTTTAAGGCTATGCAGTCCTCCAGATTAGCAGTACTGTGCTAATGCTTGAGGACATACTTATTGCTTCTAAGAAACTCTGGAACTTTAAAGCTTTCATTTTCCAGGGCAGCTGGATATTCTGGTTGTTTGATTCTAAATATCTGTGGGACTTTTCTTCACTGCTTCTTAGCTTTGATTAGAGGTATAGAAATGAGTTCTTAGTTTAATAGGATGAGTTAGTGCAACCTGTGTTTTAAATGGCTTCATGTTTACAATACTTTCTCCATTAATCTGCAAAAGATGGGTTATAATGCTTGTGATGATAGCACACAGAGTTAGTCATTGAATAATAAACTAGAAAAATAAACACACTAAGGCAATTCTGAGCATCCATCATTGCAGATACATTGGAATGCTTAAGTTCATTTCCCTATATGCAAATTATGATAACACGAGTAATTATTATGATACAATGGTGTACAAAAATGTGCATGGTTCTTTCTGTTCTTGATGAAGAAATACTACTGTATTAACATAACTAGCTGTAGCTTATGAAGATGTTGGCCAAAATGTGATTTGTGTTGGAATTTTATTCTTAACTTACAGCAATCTAGAAGACAGAGATTCCAGTGAGAAATAATTACTGATCTTGAAGCAGATACGTGATTTTTCTTTTTCCCCATCTCCTCTGACTCTCTTACAAACTCTTCTTTCATTATTTTCTTACACTGTGCACTAGCTGCAATAAGTGGTAATAAGTGATAAGTCTTCAATAGCATTATTTTATGGGGTAGATGTACTTACTCTAGCTTGAAGGTAACAGCATAGGAGGGTCAGCAGCCATTTAGATGCCACCTGAGAGGATACGAATCATGTTGACTTTTTCTTGATTTTGATTTAAACAATAAGTGTACAGTAAGTGTGCTCCTGGGGTTAGACAGCATTTGGAAACACAGAGGTTATTTTTAAAGAAAATTTAAAGAGTTTAAACTCTGGCAAGCAAGCATGAAACTCTGAGGCAAGCTCTAAGGCAAAACAGTTGCAGAATTAATTGAGGAACTTTCTTTCCTGGAAGGAGGAAGCTTCCATCATCTTTAAGGTTATAAGAATACTGATAGAAGTTAATGACGAAGGAAAAAGCTTGATGAATAATTTCTTACAAGTAATAAATCAAAGGAAGTGTCTTAAACTTGAATGCTCAATAAAATAGGCTCCAGAGCAGTAATAAATTGCTAGAATCAAGGTAGTATTGGGCAGAGTATTAAGAAAACTGAAATGGGAAGTTGTTAAAGCGTGAACTGGAATGTACCTCAGTTGGCCTCGCAGTAGAGGAAAGAAAAGTGACAGCTGTCATACTTAAGAAAAAGCATTTCATAGAATTCAAGATGCTTCCAGTTCTTTATTGGCCAGGCAGAGGACAAAAATCCAAGCATAAGAGGCTTTGGGTTTGTTGTTTTCTTTCTTGCATTCTTATCAGACAGGGACAGTCTGTCAGTACAACCAACAGGGAGAACACTGTATCTAATCACTGCAGCTTCTTAAAAATCCTCTCAACTATTTTTCTGTAACATTGCATTCAGCTACCTCTATGCTGCAAGGTCTGGGAACCAGCAGCTTGAGCCTGGAGTGAGTGAACGAGGTACCAGTTGCTGTGGCCATGCCCCCAGGTAGTGATATCTGTAGTATTAACTTCCTCTTTCTTCTGAGAGGGGAGGAATGGCACAGTATAGTGTGTATCTATGTTTTAACACAATCATGTCAGTGTTCTGTAGGGATGTTGTTTAAGAAAGTTAGTGCCCTGCCTGGCTAGCTAGTTGGCCATATTAATGTCCTCAGAATGGGTGTGTATTTTTGTGGACCTCGAGTACGTATTTAGCCTTGCTAAAAACCATTCATCAACCTAAAACAGAGAGCCCTCAGTTTACTGAATTGCATGCACTGGGCTCTAGCAGTAGGAAACTGCCCAGATGGAGTGAGGGTCCCAGCGGAGACCGCAATCTGAGACTGCTAGATGTGGTAGCTATTATCCCATGTCAGTTTATGTGCACCAAGATTCCAGGCTGCATATCCACAGCTCCAAATTACTATTTCCATCTCATTTTTTCCATGGAGCACAGGCCTTTACCTTGGTGGCCAACTTTCTTCACAACTGTCCTTGTATGCATAGTAGACAGCAAAAAGCTGTATAGATGATTATAGCTATCATATAGTAGAGCCTGTATGTCTTCAGTGAGCATTAAAACCAGTTCCTTTACTTATAAGCATATGTGCATGTTCCAGTCATCAGCAGCACTGCAGGCTGTTTGGATGATGTATCTTTAAAGGATAAGCATCTTTGAATTCATTGTTCAAATATTTTTTGGTCTGCCCATCCACCTTTAAACAGTATTACAGGTGCCTTTGAAAGGCTGCTGGAATCATTATGGAGACTCTAGGTTGTCCGTAGTCTAGCGGACAGCTCCTATCAGTTATGCTTTCAAAGTCTTTAATTACTTTGGCTGCAGAGTTATAATAGTCATACTTCTGGAGGGGCTTCTTTAGCATTGCTCTGTTATGCAGTACATAATGTATGGAGTTTTTTGTTCAGTAGATTTTGTGCAGAATCTGAGTGTTATGTTTAAGTAGAAGATAAAACTCTTGGTAGTTACCTGGTTTTCATAGGAGTTCTCATGCAAAAGACCTTTCTTTGTTGTTGTTGCAGAATGCTCCAACATAAGGAGTAGTAGTATTAACAATCTTTAACCAACTTTGTTATCCTAAAATGATGAATAATCTTTATAAGGATGAAGAGTTTAAGTCACCAAATATTTCTGAAAGAAAATGAGGCCTCTGATATCTCTCCATTTTGTTAGAAGTTAATGTATAAAGATAATTTTGAAATGCTGGAAACAACTATGTTGCTAAGATGTTGCAGTATTACATGTATAGATGGAATTTCCTTTGTCATGCTGACTTCTCTTCAAAGTATTGAAGTGTATTTCAAAAGGTGATTGGAAAAAGCGCATACAAAATGGACTGGATTATGATTTCCCACATTAGTGGTGTTTAGTTGATTTTTGCTTCAAATACTTTGTATTTTATTCACACTCCTCACCATATTTTTGTTACTGATTTCAGTCTTACTATGGTTTTGATCATCTAAAAAAATTCTTGTAAACTGTTTTGTTGTTTTTTTTTTTAATGGAAAATGACCAATATTTGAAACATAAATACCTGAAACTGGATGCTACTCTAAGTGCTACTGGGATAGTTAAACAATGTGTTATGGATCCTGAATTTGAACATTTAATACAGTGGATTGTTTCTCTAGGTCAGTTCTCTTAATAACTGTCCTTCCCCATATCCATTTCTGAACAAAATTAGAATTTTAATTACTTTCTAGTAATCACTAAAATTCTTTGTGTGTTTGTGGCAAGTAGTGCAGTGTAAAAACAACCAAGCAAAACACTGCATCATAGAATATACTTAGCTTTTTTCCTAAACATAGTAAATATTGCAGGCAGCATATCAGATTTTCAGGTTATCAGTAGCACTTCCTTTAGAACAATTGTGTTAAATCTTACTGACTTAATGAAAAAATGATTTTTAGAATAGGAGACTATTTCCCTCTAACTGTCTCTTGTATTCTTAGGCTCCTCCAGGAAATGTGAAAATGCCTAATGTACCCAGTACTCAGCCAGCAATAATGAAACCAACAGAAGAACCACCTGCTTACACTCAAATTGCAAAGGTTGGTCTGTAACTTTCAGGCGCTAGATTCCTTTTAAATCTAATTATGTAACATGCTTCTGGAACAGTCTTCTATAAAAAAAGTATTGTTTTCCTGCTGATTTACAAAAATTAATACTGTTTTAACATAAACAGGTACTAAATGCAACACAAAGTTACTCTTATGCAGAACTGGAATTGCTTAATTATGTGAGATAGGCTTAGAATATTTATCTTTGTACATAATGATGTCTGTTTTGTTTAGGAGCATGCCTTGGCCCAGGCAGAACTACTAAAGCGTCAAGAAGAATTGGAAAGAAAAGCTGCTGAACTGGATCGCAGAGAAAGAGAAATGCAGAGTCTCAACCAGCAGGGGGGTATGTATGAAAATTGTTTTTTAATTGCAGAATTTAATTTTTCTTAGCAACCATTTCTATTTTATAGTGACATTGTAAAACAGATCTGAAAAGGTTTTTATAATCTCTTCTGGACAATTAATCTCCTTTGGAACAGTTCATACAATCCAGTAAAAACTGGCTTGTACAGTGCAAATTTTCACAGCAGTAATATTAAATGTAGTCTTTGTTACGTATTAGCCTCAGCTGTCAGTTATTTTTATTCTAATCTCCAAGCAATTCTATTTAATAGAAGTGGAACATTTTTCAGAAGTAACCTTTTTTTTCTCCTCTATTTATAACTGTAGAACATCTCAGTTTTGTAGCATTTTCTTATCTTTTACTATGTTCTGGGTATAATATTTATGCAAATAGCAGACAGAATGTATCTAGTATTAATCTTTGATATGAAACTTCGGAATCCATAATCAAGATCTGCATCTCGTTTTGCCAGAAATTGTAACTGTGCTTTTTAACGCTGTCAATTTTCGTACTGCAATTTCACAAATGAGAAGATAGATATATTCTCTTAACTGGAAATTTAGCTGGGGATACTATTCCTTTTCAAAAGGAATAAATATAGACTGAAATTATAAGAATACCCCCAAAACACTTTGTGCAGGGGTGTCTTTTGTGTGATCTTTTCACTTGCATCCTGATTTCTATCCATTTTATTTCCACATTAATCTCTGAGGTTTTATTTGCTCCTTTGGAAATAGAATTGTACATCTCTGTATGTATAATCACATAGTAATTCAAATTCACAGGGAATTTTCTAGCATGTTGTATACCACTAGGATCTTCGTATGAAAAGAGTCACATTCCCTTCATAAAGCCATTTTTATTTTCTCTGTACTTAACTCTCTTCGTTATCTTCATTAAATCTCTACCTATCCTCCAACATAATGATTTTTGGTTTATTTTTTCATTTCCTTCTCCATGTTACCCTTCATATAATTTCAGTAACTTGCATTGTTGGTCTGAATTGATTACTTTTGTCTTTTGTTACAATTTTATTCCTTTTCATCTCTGTTTCAGGGAATAGAAGTCTAATACCTGATGCATGTTTCAGAGTATTTTTAAGCGGTATTTATTGTTTTACCAGCTTCAATTGTTTACATTGAAGTGCTTAAAGAATGTGTAAGAAACTAAAGGATTCTTCAAGAAGGCTCAACGGGAATGAGAGGTCCTAAAGCTTTAAGGAGAATGCTAAATTTTTAGCAAATGCCCAAGTAAAAGATACTGCAAAGCATGAATTGTGCATTGTGACTGAGAAAAACACTGTCTTCCTTTTATTTTTTTTTGTGCTCTCATTCTAGCTGCTTTGGAAATGCTGTAGGGGTGCCTTGATTGCAGGATAGAGCGTTCTGTAATAATACTGTAGATATTTGCATTTAATTGAGAATGGTGGCTGTATATCTAGGACACTAATTTTGTACAGCTGACCTACAGTTCTAAGATCTTGAAGCCTGATAGGTCTGCTCAACTCCATGCCTTTGGTCTTCTCTGTTCAAGTCCTGTGCAGTATTGCTTATGAGTTGGCTGAAGTGTGCTGCTTCTTACTTCAGCTTGTTCATTTGGGTATGTCTTAAAAAATCCATCAGTGTACTTTCATGAAGCTAGTTGGGATATCTTCAGTGACATGCCCACGTACGAGTGCAGTTATGTTCAGAGGTCTGGGGGTAGTAATGTTGTATTGAATTAAATAAATCTGAACTTGATCTTTGCTTATAATTCAGTACTGGAACATGAGTATCTTAAAATAGTGATACATAAAATATCATACCATCTTACTATGCTGTCTTTCACTGTTTGTTGAAAACTGGTGCTGGGTTGTAAAAGCAAATCAATTAGCATAATTAGTAACTTCAATTATTGGAAGATATCTGAGTTTTCCTGTTACTCTTGAAACTGAGAGAAACAATCATATACTGCCAAATAAAGATCTGAATTTTTCATAGAAGGAACTCCACAGTAGTTTTTAAAACAGGTGGGCATATTAATTGATTAACTTTTGTATGTTCTCATTATAAATCATCAGCTCTAAAAGCCTAGGTGAAAAAACCTGTAATGGAAGAGGCAGACTGTTCAACAGATCCTCACTGTTTAGGAGTTCTGTATACAGAACTGTCAACTTCATCTTATGTTGAGCGAGGAAAGAATTTATCCCAGTAGATCAGCATGCAGGAGTAAAAGGTTGTGTTGTCTTTGAGTCCTGACTGTATCTGAAAACTTAATATAAAAATGTAATTAGTGCTGTGGGGGCATATTCTTGTAGTTGAGAGTATTTTAATACTGCTTTTCTCAACTTTTATGGGCTTAGAAGCAATATTTGACTATAAACTGTATTGGGAACTAGTTCAAAGCTTTAGAGATAGCCAGATGTTAAAAATACCAGGATTCTGAGAATTAAGATGGCTTTTCTATCTCTGGCCTTTGTATTCAACAAAATGAGTAGGTGAGCATAGCACATCTTGGAGAAATGTGCATCTAGAAGATAAGAAACCTTGAAAATTTGTTTTTCTGACCAAAGCTTACTGGTTTTTTTTCAATATTTCTTTTCTTGGTACTCTGTAGGAGCTATTAAGTGCTTGCTTAGGCATTTACATAGATAAAATAGATAAAATATACAGTCATTTCCTTGATCTGTCTGAATTTCATCATATCTTATTTCTAAAATTTGTGTTAGGATTGGTAATAAAACTCTTGGGTTTTGGTAGCCCAAGCTATCTGTAATCTCTTTTTCTAATATAGAGAGATTGAACTTGTATTATAATGTATTTTTCTGGTTTTTTTATTATTATTATTTGCAGGTAGAAAAAATAACTGGCCACCTCTTCCTGAGAATTTTCCAGTGGGCCCATGTTTCTACCAGGACTTCTCTGTAGACATTCCTGTAGAATTCCAGAAGACTGTAAAGATTATGTACTACTTGTGGATGTGTAAGTATTTTTTTTAAAGAAGAAACAAATTGCAAATTCATACTTGATGATGATGCTTCCTACTTTTGGCTTTCGCAACATCTGTGATGATATATTTTTAAAACCCAGAAATTAAATATTTAAATGAAACTTTTTTGTTAGGTTTGATTTTAGAAACACTGAATTATTTCATAGAAACTACCCTGGGGATAAAAGGTTTGTCTTAAAGCAGTTTTGCATTATATACTGTATTCTTGTATTTTAAATCTCATTATTATCAGAAAGCAATATTTGACCATTTATTACCTTAGAAATAATTTTACTATTTTAAAAATCAGTTTGTATATGAAGAAATTGTACATCTCTCTGTATAATAGATGGTTCATAATTCATGGTTGATGTTAATATACTGTGATTTAAAAACTGTAATATCCATTTACTTCAATATGCATACTTACAATTCTGTGTAGTATTATTGTTAGTTAGTATGATATTATTGTTAGTTAGTATGATATTAGTGTTAGTTAGTATGATATTAGTGTTAGTTAGTATGATATTAGTGTTAGTATTATTATTGGTATGTTGCCCTCATTCGGACAATGTGTTTTGAAGAAATGCTGAATGAACCAAATATACAAATGACATTCTACCCCTTTGCAAGGATCAGGGCTCACCAAACACCCTAAAGGACGCAATCTCCAAGTACAGATCCTTCTGTTGTGGTTTCCAGCCCTTATATGAGGTTAGAGAGGAATGAGGCTATGATTTATGCCTTCCAGACACACAGGTGAATTGCTTCCACCTGTGCTCTCAGGGCTGGCTATGCCCCCCCCAACAGGTGTGCTCAATCGGTGGTTCAGGTCGTGACCTAACAGTTCCCATACAGCTGTTAGTATGATTGAAGTATGTATATGAAACATGTAAAATGAGTAGAAAACATTAAATCAATTCCACCTCATTCAGTTCAGTTCATCAATTCCACACCTGCTTGCTGTTTTCATTGCTGGGTCATCAATCATTAATGTAAGTCCATTGTAGGTAGAACACATGATTAGTCATTCTCAAAAATCAGACAGGCATTTCTGATTTATATTGAATGAAAGGTTAAGGGCTCAAGAATTTTAAGATGCTAGTTGTGGCCACTTTCAGAATTGAATTTTGAACATCCTGTATTTTTTAAACACAAGTTCAGTTGGTCAGTAAGAATTTGAATATTGTTTTTCTTTTCTCCTTATAATATATTAAGAAAGCAGTAATATAGAATTTCAAAATACATTTGAGTTCTGCACTCATAATAAGATCACTGATTTTCTTCTCATTAAACTGTGGTTTTGAATTCTCTTTCTCTTGTCTTTAGATCTCCTACTCTCTGACTTAAGGATTACTAAGGAGGGAAATGAGCATAATAAAGAAAGATAGATTATCTATTTGAGGCTAAAAAGAGATGGTTGAGTACTTCAGGGTTGACTACTTTAGTGCTTTAGGGCTGATATCTATGTAGTTTAGCTTATACCTTATTAGAGTAGACACGCTTCTTCGTGGAGGCAGTCATTAGCATAGCAAGTCAACTAGTTTCTGCTTGTTATTGTACTTCCTATTCTTCATCCTCTTTCAGAACTTCCTCCTAGGACTTTTAAGGCCTAGGGATAAATCTGGTACTGACTGCTCTGCACTTTGTAAAGCTGTTTTCCTGTCCTTTTTTTTTTTCTTGCAGCTGTAAGAACACGTCATTCAGTGTGTGTGTTTCTGTGTGGGTTTGGTTAGTGCCAATTTTAATACTTCTTTCTTAGGCATTATGTATCTGAAGAAACTTTTTTTTACCTGTTTTGGATCTATGCATACCTTATCTTATGAGAATACAAACCTGCTTGTATCTTTATTCCTGTGAATTCATCTATATTTTCTCTGCTTCCACCAGAAGTCAGAGTCATCTGATTTCTTAATTTGTTTTTTTCTTTGCATGTATCTTTTTTCTCCCTGGAAAGAGACACCCTTTTTTGTGTGCTTCCTCTTGTTTTTGGACTATGCTGGTTACATGGTAATGGCTTCTGTCAGCTGCCAGTGGTGTATTTCTGTACTCTCTTTTTTGCTACCACTGCTGTTTTGGTGACTTGCAGATGAAATAGCAGCTTTCCTGTCTCTGTGGCAGTGGGCACTAGTTTTTAAATCTGTTTTTAAATGCTGCTAGAAGTGAAATGTCTGTCTCTCGATCACTTCCTGACATCAAAATTTTTTGGCTCAGAAGCCTGTTTTCTAGTTACACTCCTGACAGCACAATTGCATATGCAAAAAGAGCAGTGTCAATTTTCAAGGAATTTTTCTTATTTAAAGTTAAAAACTGAAGATCTCTTCAATCTTATGGAAGGTGTTATGGCATTTGGCTTGGTTACTTGTTTGAAATTTTCCTTTTCCTATGACAAGATTTTCACAGGCAAATGATTTAAACTACAGATGATGGTGGAAATACACTCTAAGGTGTCAAATTTTATGATATTTTTCTATTTAGAGTTCTTTTGTCTCATCCATTCTGCTGTGTGAGGATACAGCCAGTAGTCTGTATTCATCTGCGTGGATGTTTTGTTTTGGCATTTCCTGATCCCTTCAAGTGTGGGCACTTCGTAAGCTCCTTCCAATCATGCTCTAGTGTTGCTATCTTTATCATTAGGTGTTGTTTCCAAGTATATAATTTAATTCTCCAGGGATCTCACTGATCTTACTTGTGCCATCTACTGTTATTTCAAAATATGCCTGTGTCCCCTTTAGTTATTTTTTTTCCAAGTGAACTAGCATAGTTCACTCAACATGTTCTTTGTAGGTCATGTTTTCTAGAGTTCTGATTGTTTTGTTGGTATCTTACAGATTTGCTATTTGGTCCATTTCAAATTGTTATGGCATTTTAATTATATAGCATCTAGAATTGGACAGTGTGGACCAGGTCCAATATTTTAGCTGAAGTCTTTATGTATTGTGTATAGAAGGAAAAAAAAACTTCATACTTCTGATAGTATATGCTCATACTCCTGCACACTATTAACAATTCTTGCTTTTTTTGCAATAGCTTGGTGTTGTCCATTCATAGTGTGGTGGTGGTGGTGGTGTGTGGTGATTGTTTTAGTCATAAACCGTTCAGGAAGAGCAGCACATACATGAGTTGTGTTGGTTGGCCAGTAGGCTGTGCATTGAGAGACATTATTTTTTTCTAAGCTTCTGTTTGGGTGAATTTTTCAAAGTGAAAATTATCTTGTGCTGATCAAAGCCAGTTTTATTCCTGTGGCAAATATTTGTCATTTTTAAGGTGTGTGTGCAGATGTCCCCTACCCTTTTCCAGAAAGTGCAGAACAGACAAGGAATGAAAGTGTTAAGTTAAATTTTAAGCTAACTTGTGGCTTCAAAATTCTCTGTAGACATCACATTCCAGTCAAGTCATTCTGAACCCAGCTGATTCCTGAGGGAAGAGCATATTCTTTTGCCACGTAGCCCGATGAGGACTTTACGGTCACAGTCATTGGATGAGTGCAGAGTTCTGCCAAAGACTGAAGTAATTTCAGTCCTCACACTTGTTTTTGAAGAGGTAGAATATTTTTAAAACTGCTACACGCAATTTGAAAACACCTGTCTATTCCCATAGTGTTTGTGTGAAGGCATTAGCTCTCAGAACAAATGCATCTAGTAACAAATGCTTCCAGTAATCAAAGATATTTTCCTGTTTTTCAGTATTGTCTAGAAAGAAGAAAAACACTACCCCCTCATAGTTAGTTTTCTCATATTTATGAAATTATAGTAAGAGTTTGTATCATTTGTTGTGCTTCCTGTTGAGTACGCACCAGAACTCTAACAGAAACAAGTGAGTTTCTTGGAACAGTGCTAAGATATGTAAATGAATTAAGTACACTTTATTTAAAGGATTTCTGGTTTTGCTGACTCTGAAGAAGGATTTTTCTGAGGAAGATGTTTTGAGTTCCTTTATTTTTGATGCAGTGATATAGGCGTTTTGTTTATCCACTTTTTTTTCCCAGTAAGTTGATTTAAGGCTTGCTTAGAGTACTAACTGACAGGGAATGAAGCAGAAAGCTTTGAAGACTTTTTCAGAATCTTTACAATCTTACCAGTTCTTCTGTTGAACTTACCTTTCAGTAGAATGACTAAAATATTTCTCTGGGCTTAAGCAGCTTCTTGCAACGCCGTTTGCGTACTCTTAATTGCGAAAGGTGCTGCGCGTTTTACAGTGAGCGAGTAGAATCACTCCTGAATCACTGGGTATTGCTGAACAGGCACAGGAATTCATTTTTATCTTCTAAGTATCCAGAAAAAAAATAATTTCTATGCCAGATACTATGGAACTGTTTCATAATCAGATACTATGAAAATATTTTCATAATGTAATATTTCTTACTACTGCTGTGTTTTTTGTTCCAGGAGTAAAGTATTTTTGAAACAACTGTCAGAATGCCAATGCATTTCCTTTAGTTGAAATTTTAAACAAAACCTGTAACATGGTTTTGTTTTATGGATCAATTTATTTTCAAAGTAGGATATTTTGCTCTACTACATGTAAGACAGATAGTGTTTGGTAAAAATATATTTGATGTATTTTATATTTAGATTATATGTTGAAAGTTCCTTTCAAATTAGAGCATGTCTAATGCTAATTTTTAGTATATTTTGCATCACTTGTAGCATTGACTTAAAAATATATAGTAAAACAGTGGAAATGTATTTTTTAATATTAAGGCTGATACTCTGCATTTATTTACTTGCGTTATTGTAAGAGAAAGTAAACAGCCTATTAAAAAGTGCATATGTGCATAGTCAGTAGGTATAGTAGAAGAATCATCCGTCACTGCTGTAAAAACTTTTCTTCATCCTTTTAAGTATTCTGTCTTCACCGTATACCTGTTAAGACTTGATTGCTTTCGTTCAGTGCTTTCCCTTGGGAATGTTGACTTTACCTGAAAGTTAATATATAAAAATCAGTTAGATTGTTGCAGAGAGGATAATGTTTTAATTTTTAGCGTGTTTAGTTTTTTGGGTATTACTTTAACAGTTAATCTTTTCATATATAACTATAATTTAATTAAGACTTTTTCTTATTTGTGCTTCTGCAGTCCATACAGTGACACTGTTTCTTAATATCTTTGGATGTTTGGCCTGGTTTTATGTTGATGCTACTCGAGGTGTTGATTTTGGATTGAGTATCCTCTGGTTCTTGCTTTTTACACCTTGTTCTTTTGTCTGCTGGTACAGACCACTTTATGGAGCCTTCAGGTAAAAACTTCATCTTGACTTGTAATACGTTTCTTAAATATTCTACATGTAGAAATACATTAAAATTCCAGAGTTTTTGTGATTAGGATGATCCTTTAAACTGACTTCATTAGAAACAAATAATGTCTGCCATTGATTTGATCTCTGTATTTTATATTTGAAATATAAACAGCAGTAGTTAGGAATATCATAAAACATCTTTTAAAATATTTACTGTTTCTACCATTGACATAGTAATAACTTCTTTCTATTGGGCTGTTAACAATTTTAAGCAATATTCTCATTCTATTTCTATCCCTTTACACCTGAGTAGATTTACAGTTAAAGGTTCTTAAATTTTTGGCTTCCTAAGTTAAATTAATGAAATGTACACTTCGTGTTTTATTGTCTAGTAGCCTGAAATGCCTGAAGTTGTTGTAGACTTGAGATTTTTAAGCTTGAGTAAAGCTAGAATTTAATAATCAAGTTCCAATGTTTTTTTTTCCAGCTTTTGCTGATCTGTATTTGGTAGGCTTCAAAATCTTAAAATGTGTCAATGTTGAAAAACAAAATGGTTGCAAAATTGATTTTAATCAACATGAGAAAATCTGAATTTTCTTGCTCTTAGAATATTTTTTAAATTGATTTTTACATTGAACTGAATCAGAATATTGTCAGATTAAATGCACTTAAATTTTTAGAGAAAGACTGATAGCCACAAATTGCAGTTCAGCATAATCTTTGGGCTAAATTACACATTCCTTTTGATAACCAATGAGATGCTGTTGTACCTACATATCTTTGAAGATTTGTGTAGCTTAAACTATATTTTTTCCTATCAACTTGTTTTTTTACTAACAAACAGTAATACCAGAATGCATGATGTAAATAATAACTGGTTGGGGTTGTTTTTTTTCATTTTTATAGAAACCAGTCTTCTTGAGAGCATTAGAGGAGTGATAGCTTTGACTGGTTATAGATCTGACATAGTGTTGATTAATAAATAATTGGTATTCCTGATTTAAACAACAAGCATATTTTGTATGTTTTGCTTTTGAACAGCAGTTGCTTCAGTACTGTGATCTGCATTATGCTTCTGTAATTCCAAATTAGATTTTATTTCCTTCTCAAGTAAAAGATTTTCGTACAATACTGCCAGTACTGTGAATTTCAGAGTTCTGTTCTGCATTCACTGTAGCGGAACTTCAGTGTTTACTCTAAGAGGCCCTGCTTTGTGCTGAACAAAACACAAAGGAGTAGCACCTTGCTGTTATGTGCACCTCTTAAAGAGATGCAAGAGGCAAAGATACTGTATTAAAGAGAAAAACTCTTGTAATTAAACACAAATCACAGAATACTTGAAATCATCATGGATAATTCAAAATAGTTTTCATCTAGTAAATGCAGATTTTTTTTTATAGCATAGTGGTTTGTCAAAAGTCATTTATTTCCTGGCTGCATTACATTCTTTTTTTTCCCTCTTTCAGGAGTGACAGTTCATTCAGGTTCTTTGTGTTCTTCTTTGTGTATATCTGTCAGTTTGCTGTACATGTACTTCAAGCTGCAGGATTTCAAAGATGGGGAAACTGGTGAGTATTCTGTTTTCTGAGTATGACAAACATATTTGATATAGCACTTGCAATGTAGTCTGTGTTTTTCTTTTTTTTAGTATATGTATATGTTGTTTTCACTAGAATTGTTACATTTGGCACTCAGAAAAGCTTAAGTGAAAGATGTCCCAGGAGCGTGAGGTACTTCTGTCACTGGGCTGTTCAAAGTTTTGCTGTTTAATGTACACAAATTGGCACTGCTTTTATACTTTCTCCTATATTTTAATGATGTGTGAAGGTGTTACATGCTTAGAATAAGGAAAGAAAACAGAGAAAATTAGGGTAATTTAGAAATAATAGTATGCTGTTCGCTTGTTTTGTTATTGTTGTTAGTTACTGTCATTTCGTGTTTACCACTTGCTAATGAAATTTACTAAAACTTGCAGAATGAGTCAGTCTGGTGTTTGAGTGCATATAGTAGTCTATGGCCAGAGAGGTTGTGGAGTCTCCTTCTCTGGAGATTCTCAGGATTCACCCGGACACCTACCTGTGCATCTTACTGTAGGGTACCTGCTTTAGCAGAGTGTTTGGACTCTTGTGGTCCCTTCCAACCCAATTCTATGGCTAGTTAGATGGGAGAAGAGGTCAACCCCTACCTATCACAATCTTTCAGGTAGTTATAGAGAGCTGTAATGTCTCCCCTGACCCTCCTCTTCTCCAGACTAAATAATCCATGTTCCCTCGGCCACTCCTTGTAACACTTGTTACACGCTCCAGGACCTCCATTTCTTTCTTGTAGTGAGAGGCCCCAAACTGATCACAGTATTCAAGGTGTGGCCTCGCCCATGCTCTGTACAGAGGGATGATCACTTCCTTGCTCCTGCTGGCATCACTATTTGTGATACAAGCCTGGATGCCATTGGCCTTCATGGCCGCCTGGGCACACTGCTGGCTCAAGTTCAGCCAAGAATCAGCCAACACCCCCAGGTTCGATTCTTCTCCTCAGTCTTCCAGCCACTCTGCCCCAAGCCTGTGGCGTTGCCTGGGGTTGTTGTGGCCAAAGTGCAGGACTCAGCACTTGTTGAACTTCATCCCAATGGCCTCAGCCCTGAGATCCAGCCTGTCCAGATCCCTTTTCAGGGCCTTGTTACCCCCAAGGAGATCAGTACTTCCTCCAAGCCTGGTGTCATGTGCAAATTTACTGAGGGTGCACTCAGTGCTCTCATCCAGATCATCAATAAAGATATTAAACAGGACAGGCCCCAGTACCAACCCCATGGGACTTGTGACCAATCACCAGCTGGATTTAATTCCATTCACCACCACTCTCAGGGCCCGGCTCTCCAGCCAGCTTTTTACCCAGCAAAGAATGTACGTGTCCAAGCCATGGGCTGCCAGTTTCTCTTGGAGTATACTGTGGGAGACAGTGTCAAGGCTTTGCTGAAGTCTGTGTAGAATATAACAGTGCCTTTTCATCACTTTTCCTCATTCATCAGGTGGGTCACTCAATCATAAAAAGAGATCAGGTTGGTCAAGCAGGACCTGCCTTACATGAACCCATGCTGGCTGGGCCTGATGGCTGGTTTTCCTGCATGTGCCTTGTGTTCTCACTCAAGATGATCTGTTCCATAACTTTCCTTGTCACCGAGGTCAGGCTGACAGGCCTGTACTTCCCCAAACGGCCCTTGTTGTAGATGGGCATCATACTGGTAAACCTCCAGTCCTCTGGAACCTCTCTGTTGACTAGGAATGTTGATAGATGTTTGAAAGCAGCTTGGCAGTAACCTCTGCCAGTTCCCTCAGCATCTTCAGGTGGATCCCATCTGACCCCATGAACTTGTGATAGTCCAGGTGGAGTAGTAGGTTTCTAACTGTTCCCACCTGAATCGTGAGGAGCTCATAACTTTTAAATGTAAAATTTAAGTATTATTGGGAATTGTTGTTACCATTCCTGCAAAAAATCCTCAGCAAAACAGAGCTGACTAAAAGCATGATTGCAGTAGCCAGTTGATAGCATGGAATGCTGTGATTGGCAGTACAATATCTGGGTAATGATATTTTTCTATATCAGTGATATTTTGCAACTAATCTGCAAACATTTGTACAGCAGCCAAAACAATATTGCTTTACAACTGGAGCATAATGAAAAGTCCTGTTCCATTATTTTTTTGCTCTCAAATTTATTGTGTTCCTTTTTCATGGATACCTTGATTGACATGAAAAAAATAAAGTAATTTTGTAGGGACAACTTTCCTAGTGCCTGGAATATGCCTCTAAGGATCTTTGCAGGATGAGTATAAAATGTAGCCAGATCAGAAGACGCAGTTTACAGTTCAGTACACTGAACTTTACAGTACAGTACAGATTTTGGGGATTTGTGGTAGAGTCCAGTTGGGCATAATGAATCAGAGCGATATGAAACAGGTAGAGGAAAATTTTAATGTTTTGAAGATTTACAGAATTTATTTGCTCTCTTAATTGGAAGAATCTTTTCCATCTTGATATTCCATTTTTCTCAAGGCAGCCTGCTTTCTTGTGGTTTAAAGGTTTGGTATTGTTCTTCACTGTTGATGTCTTAGTTTAAAAAAAAAAAAAGGTAATGTTTAAAGTAGAGAATGAGTAGATAATTGACTTTTCTACTAGTTGATTTATTAGTTGAACCTTTCTGCTTTAATAAACTATTGTATTAATACCAATTGAGAAACCTTCATTCTGTGGATATAGCTCACTAAATCCTCCCACTTACAGGATGTATGTGTAGCATATTTTTGTGTTGTTTTTAAAGGAATTTTAAGAATTTTTTTAAAGGAATCTTCTGTTTCACAAAGTCATGCAGTTTTAAATTAGTCTGAAATGATACTGGGACCAAAGGTTACCAAGATTGATAAGCTACTCTCAGATTTCTTTAATTTCTTGACTTGTACTGAAGTTTTCCTTATAAAGTGGGAATGAAGCTGTAAAAACTGGCTACAATACAGAAATGTTCTCATAATTTTTCTGAATTTCCTTTCAAAAATTTTTGGAGTTGACTAGAATAAGAGTGTATCTAGCTTCCCTCTGATGTGGATGAATGGTTCCTGTACTGTTCAAGTAAAGTTCAGTGTTTTTCTTCCTTCAGTGGATGGATTTCATCTCTTACTGGTCTTAATAAGAGTATTCCTGTTGGCATTATGATGATCATCATAGCTGCACTTTTCACAGCATCTGCTGTTATCTCGTTAGTTATGTTTAAAAAGGTAAGCTGTTTATTCCACTTTTCTGCTTTCTGTGTTTGGCCTGGAATTTGTTTGAGAGTGGCACACTGTCACAAAGTAGGGGTTAATTATTTGATATTCTTGGGAGGTTTGCTGTACATATTAACAACTGTGCTTCTGTAGTACTAACTGCCTTACTCCTATGTTTAAGGATTTTCACATACCGAAACTCTTCTGTTCCTCAGACATCACGTCAGAAATTTTAAGCATAGCCTAGAGATGTCAACCTCTCATTATTTCTTTTCTCCATAAATACTCAGATACAGGAGAAAGAATCAAGAAAAATGTTGAACAGGGTTGTTGGGTTTTTTTGTCTTTCTGCCACATGCATCTGCATTCTTTCAGAAAGCCTGCGTACTTAGCATGCTCAGATGTGACTATTTTTCATCTGTGAAGCTATACCATGTCACATTTTAACATAGGAAAAAGGTTATAAGATCAGTTTGTCTGCTGTGTGTAGATAGAAATGTCTTTATAATACTATTAACAACTATTTAAAGATACTATTGAGTGAATACGAATCTAAAATTGAGATCTAATTTTAATTCTCAAGTAATTGAAGGTTTCTCAGGATTCTATTTTTTACTATAAATCGTAGGGTGTATTGTTTGAAGAGTTTGTAAGCAATATGGTTATCATCTCTGCTTATTATGCAGACCTGTTGGGCATCATGCCTGCATATGCTAGCAGATGCATATCTACATTACTAAGTTATTTTGAACTATACTTAGTAATAATTTAGCTTAATAGATTTTTATAAGCATGTAAATTAGAGAAATTTTTTTCTAAAGATTGATGTATAAAAAAAAAAGCTTTTCAGATTGTTATTGCCACAGTGGCACTACTTCTTTAGCTTTGTTTTCAGCTTCTTTTAACATGGACATTCACTTTCAATGAGTATGCTAAATTGTGGACAAATTGAGACATAAGCTTTTGCAAGCCATGTCCCTGTGTAATACTAAGAATGCAGCCTGCTTTGCATACTTAAATATATTGTTTTAGAAAGTGAATATTATACAAGTAAAAGGCCTTTTGAAAGACCCCTGTGAAAGTCTAAGTAACAGAAATCTGTGTAATCAAACTGTACAGCAGGGCAATCAAAATTTGTAGGACCTTGTGTAGTAGTAGTCTGACTCATTTCCTGATAGCTCTAAACATAAAGTGAGATTTCTCTACTACACAGCTCTCCTTTGCTATTACTCTACCAGTGAAATGGAAGTTTGTAACATTCACTGCTTTCTCACATTCCTAGGTTCATGGTCTCTACCGCACAACTGGTGCTAGTTTTGAGAAAGCACAGCAAGAGTTTGCAACAGGAGTGATGTCCAACAAAACTGTACAAACTGCTGCAGCCAACGCCGCATCGACAGCAGCAACCAGTGCAGCTCAGAATGCATTCAAGGGTAACCGAATGTAGAGGAAATAAAAGAAATTGTTGCGGTTTTCTTTGATTGTGCTTTATTTTCAGGTCATTTATTCTTTTTCCTAAAAGCCTAGAATAAAATTAACACAGCATGTTTGTCTTTTCTTCAGCTGTGCATGGGTAAAATGGGAAATGTTTTGTTCTGTTATAAATTTATTTATTTTCAAAGTAAATTCTTTGCCCCTCTTTTGAAAGTTTCTATCTGTGATGTAAAGCCCTCTGTATTTTATGGGAGATAAATAATTTCAACAATTGGCCTCTTATTGAACAATGGTATTTAATGATCAAATAAATATATTAGGAATTTGATAAATTCTTCAAATTTTTTTAGGGTAAGTCTTTTGATATAAACCTGTAAGTTTGCATGAATGCTGTTGAGCTATCTGATCATACTTAAATCGTGTTTTGGTCCAGAATTTACTTGCACCACTTTATAGCATTTGTTTGTATCTACTTTCATGGAGTATTCTCTTCCTGTGAGAAATGACAATGATGCATAAACATTCTTTGTAACGGAATGTGTAATGCAGTGTATAAGTTAAGGAAGTTAGCTGATGGTTACAATCACAGACATAAATGATTATATACTATGTTTTTTATTTCAGTATTTCTTTCTTGAGGTAATAATTTTGCTGGAAAAAACAGATATTGATGTTTAGAATTCTAGTTTCTTGTCTAGCTCTCCTCATTGACTTGCAGTGGTATTTTTGTTTTGGGGATTCTTAGATATTTTTTTTTTAGTGTAGATTTGTGTTTAAAAGTGGTACTGAATTTCTAGCCTTGTCAGTCACTCTGTTTACTGCTTGTCCAAAAATATAAATACACAGTATTTAATTTTCTTACAATAATATTGTCTAAGATCAATCTTTTTAAGCAATGGCATTTAACAGATACTTGAATTCATTTTAACATAACTCAGCCATCTCTGTGATTTACGCTTGGAAGTAAGAGCTTCCTGTTTCAAACTGAAAAAGTGAAAACTATTCATCTTTCACAAAGTCATTGAGCTGAAGGCCTAAAAGGTTGAACGGTTGCTGTGGAACAGAACAGTCAGTAATGGGATGTACCGTCATAATGTTCTAAAGTTTAATCAGGTCTTATTATAAAGTGATGGATTTGTCCTTAGAAGGTTACTTAGAGTTCCTTGATTTGGCTCATGAGCATAATATTTGGGCTATTTTTTAAGCTTTGTTTTAGAAAGTGAAAGCAGAACATCATCCCACGACCTTAGTGTAATTTTGTTGTGGCTGAAATTTTTTCAGCTCTTAATGTGAATCACTTTTAGCAAGATTGAGCCAGAAGTTTCTGAGGCCCCTCCATGCTGACCAATTAAATCTTTCTCATACGGTGTATTTATAATAACATAAAGTTTTTATTTTTTAGTGCTATTAACTTAATTCCTTGATGAGTACTACCATTAGCTGTAGTAATTAGTTTTCTTTATTTTACTGACTTCTTTAAATCCAACTTGAATTTGGATAAATGTAGCAATTTCACCTACGCAGAAGTTAAATATTTAGATGATAGTATATTATTATTATTCTTTGCATCGCAATATTAAAAGCAATTTCAGTGTTCTATCTAATAGGGGCTCTAAAATTTTACAGTAGTGAATAGGTTAGCTTTGAACTTAAATTTGTGTGGGATGTTAATAAAAGCTTTCCAGACAGGTCTTCATTTTCTGCTGAGATCGGGGACTACACTTCTAACAGCTGTACATCAAAGTTGTTCTTTTCAAAATCCTTTAAATTTGACTTGGAGGAGCTGTAATATGGATTATTCTGAATCTAAATTTAAGTAGTTAACTTGGATCTTCCTTGGATTTGAATTCCAGGGACATAATCCTTTCTTTAAGCTGAAGAATGCGTAATACAAATTACCTGAATATAATGAAGAAAAGATATAGATTTAGGTATAAAAACCTGAATTTGGCAGGCATATTTTACCAAATGTTTAAATGTTCAGTGAGAATGTTCAGTGTATGCTGGGTGTCGATTTGTAATGTCCCGGGCTGAATATATAGATCTAAACCTCATAAGCAAAATTTAAGAGGCAGTTATGTGAGCTTTTAAACCAGAAATCCGATGCTTTGCAGCCCAAAAGGAAGGAAGAAGTTTGAGTTTACCTTTGGCAACAAAAGGCTGATGTTAGTTAAAATACTTTTACCCAAATAAAATGAGATTTTAGCCTCTTACTAATTACCAGACTATGGCACCCACTTGTCATTTTGTAGTATTGTGACAAATTGAGTACAGAGTATGAAGTTTAAACACTGGAATGTCAGTAGTCATTGATACGTAATATAGGAGTATTTATCATGGGGATGTTTGTATATTTTGTAAATTACTAACAATGCTCTGTCATCCTGGTGAATGTCATGATTCTCTACAAATACACTCCTTCTGTCCCTCTGTTGCATGTCTGAGCTGTTCAGAAGTTTTGTATATTTATTGTATTAACACGGTGTCACAGAATAAAAAGAAAAAACTTTTTTTCCGGGATTTTTGCTCTGTATAGTTTTGAACAAAATAGTTTTTTCTTTCAAAATTCAGGATGACATACAAGGCGGCTGATCTATGTAAAAATCTCACTTGCTTTTTGTAATTCTGTATATAAATGCTTTAATTATGCTGGAATGGGAAAGTTGCCCACTATTGAAATTATACATTAGGATAATCAGAATAGCCAACTCAAATATTATAAGAAACATTCTCAAATACTTGCAGCCTGCTTCCTTATGCTATATAGCTAGAGAGTTAAAATCCAAACATGTTTTGTCATTACTGAATGAAATTCTGTGGCTATCCAGTGAATCCTGAAACGTTACTGAAAGTAAAATGAAGTTGCTGAAAACAGCATTGGTTTGGTACTGCTTGTTTTCCTAATTTCAATTGAGTTGACATGTGTCACTGCTGTGTCTTGGTCTTTTATTCATTAGGCTCTACCAGTCGTTTTTTTCCTGTGATGTCACCTGTAACACCAACTCTCTTGTATTGAATGTATTTCTGGGTTTTATTTGAACGGGAAACAAAAAATGAGTTTATCTATACCACTGTGGTATCAATACACAGAACAGTGCTCAGACATACAGCCAGGATTATTCTGGGAGAGGATAGCAGATATGAGACTTTGAAGATGCTGGCACACTTGTACATCATTAAGTAGTGAAGGTGCTCATCAGTGTGACCTGTGTCTTCAATAAGCTACAATCTCGGGTGGCAGTGGCAGCATTAGAGGAACAGGTTTTGAACTTAGGTACACACACCTTACATAAGAGACTGTGTGTATGCAGACACCTGCTTTGAAATCCACAGAGATGTTTAAAGTAGTGATGCACTGAGTGGCACCTGTCGCTGGATTTGTTTGGGCTTTAGATTTCCAAAAGTCAAGGAAGATGCTTCAGATCTTTCACCATGAGCTACTTCTTGGAAGCTTAGAAAGTGTCAGAAGCTTAATTAATGTTATCAGACCTGAGCAACTATCAGAAAAAACAGACATCCTGACTTTTCTTTCAACTAGTAAAAGCCTTGTTTCTTGTTCTTCGATAAATTTGCTTAGAGAGCAACATACAACTCTTCATTGTTTGTCAAGTTGCAGGTGAAAAATATACACATTAAAGCAAGCGTAATTTAAAAGTCTGTGACTGAGCAGTTTTTGTTCTAAACTTTGTCTGTACCCCTCCCACTACCCACTTTTTCATGAGAAATGAGCTGCAGTGCTTTAGTTGCAAAATAAAAATCATGTCAGACGTGCTTTTAATTAGAGAGTCTCTTTAATGCGACTGTACTGTATAATGCATAGGTACAATTTCAAATCACATACTTTTTGATCAGTAATTGTTAGTCAGAAAACTAAAACACTAACAGAATCACTGGGCTGGGTTCTTAAATGCTATTAAAGCTACAATTAAAGAAAACTTGCTCTGGCTAAACATATCTGATATGTTTGAATTAAGATAGTCATACTCCCGTTACAGTTCAAAAACTCACATTTTAATTGAAATTTAGATTCAGAAAAATAACACATTAGGTACATATTTCGTGCTAATAAGTGTACATAGTGGTGACTCAAGAACAGATAAACAGTACCACAACTAAACCATGGCTCAATCTAATTCGCTGGGTTGCCACAACTTCTCTTTCTATAGAGCATGTCTGTGCTGTGTGTGTTGCTACCAGCCCCTGCTTTTGTTGGGCTCTGTCCTTTCCGTATTGTAGGCAACAGTGCCCATGGCTTTCAAGGGACACAAGTGAGATACTCTCATGTGGGATAACAATTCAAAACTGAAATGACTGGGCTGAAAAAATCAGAATCCAAAGAATTTGGAATAAAATTGATAAAAAGGTGATATAGACAAACAAGAAAGAGATCAGTAGCAATTTTTTTTTTTTTTTTGCAATGCCACATTATAAATAAAGCACACTGAGAAACCTTGCTGAACCTTTTCAGCTTTCAGATTGTACGCTGCTAGAAATAGCTACAGCTTCACATTTCAACTGTCTGTATTATATAGATTAAATCAACCTAGAAGAGATTTTTGTTAGATCTTTAAGCTACTGTTAATGTTGTATTCATCTTCAAAATCCATAACTCTATTGCATTATTCTATGCTTAGTCTGTCCACACCACCAACACACACCAATTCTTCCCTGGGAAGTCCCTTTTCAAACATCCTGATCAATAGCAAAAGCAACCAAAGGAAAAGAAAAACAAAAAAACCCACCAAGAGACATTCCTGTTATTGCACATCTCACACAAATTTGTGTATATATATATATATTTAAATATGCTACAATTAAAAAAAGTCTATGGCACTTTACAGAATATAAGTTTACAAAGTTGATCAAACCACAGATGCTTGAAGAATTCTTCAATACCACAAAAACAAAGTTAAACTGAGCTAATTGGCACACAGGTTTTAAAAATCCACAGCAAAGTCTTCTAGATCCTATGCAGTGCATGTACATAAAGAAGCAGTTACGCTCTGCAGCCCCCCTCATGAAATCAATTAAATTAGTTTTAATCTGATTTCTTTCTTTTTTTTTCAAAACATCTTTGAAAGCTGCTGTTGAGGCGACAGTCAGGAACAACTTTAAACAACTGTCAGATTTAATAAGAGCACCCCACATCTGAAAACTTCATCCAGAAAAAAAAGCGACAATACATAACACCTTACCACTTGCTAGAAAAACAGAACCCTGAGAAAGGAAATTCTGATTATTGTTTTTCTATATTTCTTCCCAGCCCGTCTTCCATCTATCTGTGCTATGTGATGAATGTGGGTATTCTTGCAAGTTAGTTGATTATGCCGTTGCAGAGCAGGTTGATAGCATATCAGCAACAAGCAGCTCTCCTTGGTTACAAATGAAAACAAAAGCAAAACGTGACACTGAAAATACTTCCTTAGTATTAAAAACAAAACGACACCAATATTAAAAATTTTAAGCATGCTTTAGATCATAGCAGTGTATTCTGGGGTTGTTCACTGCTTACTTCTAAACCTAAGCAGCATGTACCCTCCATACCTTTTGGAAGTACTGACTTTGGCTCTGGCTAATCAGGTGCTCAAGCCGAAGCAGCGTTTACTTCAATAACGTAGTTACAAAAGGTCCTGGCAGTGGCAACATTCACATTGGATTGCTACCCACTTAAGAAAAGTTAAAACTCCAAATCCGACTGATAAAAACTCTGAATTAATTAATTTTTTTAAAATTAATTTTTAGCCAATTTATTGTTACTCTTATTCTTACCAGCCCTTCCTTTCCAATTATGCTGTTGACAAAAGCACAGCTGGGCTAATGCCCCAGCCTCCTCTGCTATGCACTCCAGTAGAGGGCTCAAGAGGAATGCCAAAGGATGTTTTCTATCACACTGCAGCTGTGCTGAACAGGTAACGTGCATGTCCTTCAGAGTGTGTATGTGTGTGTGTGTCCAGGAAAAAACAGGAAACCACAAGGGTAGTCAAGACATGCTGGCTGTGACTTTTTGTCCTCAAACACCACTTTGTTCCAAAAGTTTTTTAAAAACAAATTTTGATATATGCAGATAATCGGCATAAGTGGTTCCAGACCGTTTTAAAGTTTAAATATTTTAAAGAAAAGTTAATTACCCGTTTTAAAATCTACACTCTGGTGGGCTAGAGAAACAGGTGAATGCAAGAAGCTGCTAAATTGAAACAATCCCTTTTTAATATTGGCAGAAGTTGATCCTGGTTTTTGAACAGTGGCTCAGCCATCAGCTCCACATCCATCCAGCACCTGGCTTGAACACGTGCTGTGTACTGATGGGCACTGGCAGGGAGCTGAGCCTGCTTCTTCCACAGGTGGGCTGGGCTGAGGCGGGATCTGTGGGGCACAGGAGGCACTGAGGGGTGCTTCAGCACCGGTGCTCAGCCATGCTCAAGGCTAGCCCTGGGCATTTACTAGTGGCTGCTTTTACAAGTCTTGTGAATCACCCAGAGAGGAGCAGTGTATTGAAATTAGTCTTCTACCTGTACAGTAACAATTTTTAATATCTATAAATAGCTAACAGCACACATTAGTTGATAGACTAACCAGGCTCCAGTGATAGAAAGCAACGTATGATGTGAAACATGCACCAAAAAGTAAGAAGAGGAATTCACTTAAAGTTCATGAGAATTACTTCTCTGATGAATTCTTCCTAGTGCTTCTGTGCCACAGTTGCATCATTCCTTTCTTTTTTTTAAATACCTTTTAAATTTGCTTTTACAAGTAGTTCTAGTAAGTGATGGGACACCACAAGTAATGCAAGCAACTGCTTTTGAGAAAGGAATGTCATTTGTGGCAAGGTCTGTTATTTCTGCTGATTTAGTTGGAAAAGGTTCCACGCTACATGTGGTTCAAAAAATGGGAAAAGATCTTCACAGCCATTAAGAATTTGGCGTGACTTCCTGAAAAATGTAAATTTCTTAAGGATGTAGCTGGTTCTTGGAGATGAAACTGATCTGCAGACTAGGAATGAAGTTTCACAGGCAAAAGGAAGAATAATACCACTGAAGTCCAGCATTTGATGTACACTTGTACAAGAGGCTAAAGCCCAGCTCCAGCTGTTGGCATTCACAAAATAATGCCCAGCTGTGCTCTGGGGAGTTATCATCTGCCTGGGATTTGGGGGATTTCAGATAAAGGCAGAGTTGCTGTTTCAACATACAGTAAAATGGTATTTCTAATAGTTGCATCAGATTCAAGTGAAAACCAGTGTTAACAACAGCATCTCTACGGGGTCAGTGAAAACAATTAACTTGCTAGACAAGGGGCACACACCTTGTGTTGTTAAGTTTCAGGCAGGAGATGTGGTAGGGATTCAGCCTTAACTGTTTAAAGATTTGTGTGAACTGCATCATGTCAGCTTTGATCTCTCCATCGCATACTTACTTTCTGAGAAGGCACTGTGCTGTAAGGACGTTCAGTATGAAAAAGCACCTCAATTAAAAATACGGTACCAAACCAGGTGGTGGTGAAAGATTCACAGGTGAGGGGAGCACTTAAAAAGAAAGCCTAATTAAAATAGGCTTCTTGGTTGTGTAAAAAAAAAAATGTGCTGGCTTCTATTATTTTAAATCCAATTTTTTTTAAAGTGACCAAGGTGGGTAAGGCAATCCAATCAATCAGAATTTGTCAGCTATGTAATAATATCCCCATTATATATATATGATTCCTCACATCCCCAATCTGATTAATATACTCCACAGTCTCCTGATAATATAATGAAACTAAAAAATCCCCATGTGTTTACATTCTCCTTTCTTGGGATCTTTTCTCTGATCCTCATTGCCCAACACGGAAGAAAGACCATTTCAGTAGTTCAGGGCTGGAATGCATGGGGCTCAATCACACAAACTGTGGAACCTGTTAAGTGGATCTCCTCATCGAGTCAGCGGATAGCAAATTAATATCCAGGCACTGGTATTTTTTCCCACTGGAATTAAAGGAGGCAGATAAGGTTTTTTCCTTCCTCTATTTCTTCTTGCACTTTGTCACTGGATGTGGCGATTTCAGCTTGCGCCGAGAAGACTGCACAGATGAACGTCAGAATAGTGCCACCAATAGCCGTGTAGAAAGCCCAGCCCAAGGAGCAGTCTCCCAGTTTGTAAGCAGAAGCATAATGTCCACAATAGCTTATTGCTTTCTGGCATCCCCAACCTGCAGGGTAAAGTATCAAGCCTAAGATAAGGAAGAGGCCTAGAAATAAAAAAAGAAAGAAAAGACAGAAGTTTAATAACTCGTAAGTTTCACAGCGAATGAAACTCATTTAGTAACAGTTAGAATGGACATTGCTGACTTAAAGTGCCAGAACTGGAAACAGACGGCTCTGTCTCATCCATCCTTCATTTACTATTTGTTCCTTAGTATATACTGTGTAGAGTTTTATCTCAACCCAGTGCTGTCCTACAGTTCTTAATTGTGAAAGTGTTATTTCATATGAACTTGTTCTTAGTTTTATTCTCTCTACTCCTCCTGCACTTAACTACTACATTTACAGAGCTTGCCAAATGTTCAGACATCTCATCTACTGTTTGTACTTAACACTTTTCAAATACTTAAAATTGTTTGTATCTACTTAAAATTTGTATTTAACAAGCCTTCATTCCACTTTGTCATTCATAATTTTTTTTTTTTTTTCCCTCTGGATTTTCCCTACATCTATTTTCTTAACCTGGAAAGAACAATCTCATAGAGCACTGCTTATTTGTCCACATTTGGACATAGTAGAAAAATCACTCAGCACATTCAAGAACCTTCTTTTGCAGTGAAGAGATTCTGGAGTCAGCCACAAACAAGTGGATGTAAAAACCCACTACCAGTGCATAGGTAGCACTGGGATCCTCTGAAGAGGGACGCTGTTACTGATAGCTTTCTCTCTGCTGAGAATCAAAGTTATCAAAGCAGTGAAGAGTTTCACTGAGAAGATGAAAATGTCATATTAGAGTCCCTATGCACGTGATGTGCCTTCGTACAAAGGTGAGAGATTTAATCAAAATGCCTATAGTGCTGGAAGCTATAATGCTGTCATACATCCTCTCCTAAAAATCACAATGAGTTAAAAACATAACATCTCCATCCAGCAAGGTACACAGATAATTGTCAAGGCAGGCATCTGTATTAGCTTTCTATTATTTTCTTTAAAATTTTACTTAGAATTGCAGGAAGAAATATACAAAACATTTTTTGCTTAAAGGCAAGCCATTTATCCAGAAAGTGAACACAGCCTTCAACATCCTGTAAGTATTACCCGATTTATTTCTCCTGTCCTAAATAAAGCCCTTTATTTAGCCAGGCATGCTGAAGAAGACAGCTGATAATAGTATTATTCTTGAAGCTGGCTGAAAGTTGTGCTTTTTATTTATGGCACCAGTTTGTTCATAAATTTAATTTCAAAATTTCTACTAGGTTGTCAAATAGATAAGTCTTATGTTATTCTCTCTACTACATATATTGCCAAGAACACCTGTTAAGATTTGTTCCCATCTTCAATTCAGTTATAATAGTCTGCTCTGCAGTGCATCAGATTTCCTTACCAATGTCTATAGGTCTATAAATGCCAGGTATTTCACAAAAGATTGTCCTTCCTCCAGCATTTTCCTAATGGTAACACCATGGGCATGAATGAATTAATGCCATAATTTAGGGCAGCAAAATCCACTAGTGAATGATATCTGTTCTGTCTGAGAGGATTTAGTCACTGTTTTCATTTAAGAAGCAACGACAAATTTTATGCAGTGATTCCAGCCCAACTGGCCAAACTACATCAAGCATGAAGTACTGCTTTATCTTGGACAGACCTGGATAAGCTGTGCTTTCATCCTGCTGAGCCCAGCCAGTTTCAGACTAAACACTAGCAGTTCCTCTCCTCAATTCATCACTATCTTCCTGTTCAGTATTAACCAGCAGGACTAAACATTGCGTTTCTCTAACTGTACATGAGTATGTTCCAGCTGCCATTTTTTCTAACGATCACAAACGCTTTGGTAGTTAAAAATCGCCAGCCCTGAATTAAGAAACCAGGCATGAAATGCCAAAGTAGCTGCTGCTGCCAAGTTAGTTTTTAAAGCCTACCACCCTATCAGTGACAAATCCGGAGGTCTGTGTTTCACTCCAGATGGCTTAGGCACAAGCATGTCTAAGAAGTCACATCCATCTCTTTTAGCCAAAGCCAGAACACTAAGCAACTCCTGAAGACTACTGTTGCATGGCATGGACCCCCAAGCTGAAAACCCACTCAGCCACCTCTAAAAGGCTGCAGCACTTCTACATATTCATCAGTACTCTGCTGAATTAAGACTTTTTTACCATTGTTTTTTGTTTTTGTTTTCGTTTTTTCCCCTAAAGAGTAAGAAAAATGCCTGGAGAAATGCTGAATGCAGCCCACAGCTGGATAACTTACGGTTATTTCCTCAGTTAAGAAAATGATTTGGAGAAAACTACAGAACTATGAGCCATGACTACGGACAAATTCTCTCTCCCCCTTTGACCCCTGTACTACCATAACACAAGAAAAAAAATAACGTCTTCACCACTGAGCCTACCTTCTATTCCATCCCAGAGCAGACTCAAGGCTTCTCAGAACACACCTCCTATCTCTATTGCTAATCATCATTCCTAATTTCAGTAGTATCTGGTTCCTACTTGTTAGGTTAATAAAGATTACCTAATTAAGTCAGTTCAACACAAGCACAAGCAGAGATGGCACTCCTTAGGTTTCATGATAACTGGCATTAAGGGGAGAGGTGCAGACTCATCTTGTGCTCAGCCCTAACCTGCAAAACACAGTGATGGAGCTGTGCAGACTTCATACGTGGCTCTCTCCATAGGGACCTCAAGTAAAAAGGTCAAGAGGAGATTTGCTTGCTGCTTCCAAGTCACTACAAAAGAGATGATCGCATGTTGCAGTGATTCCTGCTGCTTAAACAAAAAATGGATGGAAGATTTTCATTACCCAACAGCAAAGAAAACCACAGGCTACAGCAGAAGTCAGCAACCAGCAGCACTTACCTGTCCAACTAGCTCTAGCCAGAGGCATCTTCCAAAGACCACAAGAAAAGAACCGCTGTGCTCCTGGGAACACAGATGCAGAGGGAGGGAAGAGAGGCCCATGTGGAAAGAACAAGCTCAGATATAACTGATACCAAGGTCAGATGAGGCTGTGATACTCCTTGGAAAGTCAAGGTCTACTTTTAAACAGGTGAAATGGTTAAATGTAATACGAATAGCTCAGCAGTCTCAGTGTTCTCTCACCTTTAACCTAAGGATTGCTGCTCAACCATTTTAAGAAATGCAAAAAAGCCAGAGGCATGTTTCTGTGGCTAATGCTGTAGCCTTGATCTGTGTCTCAAACACATGCAAGCAGCTGCAGTTGAGCAAAAAACAATTACAGGATAGGATCTGGCCAAACTGGTAGACTTTCAGTACTGAATTTTCATACTAGTGTCCACAGGGCAGAGCCTGGCTGAGCCCCTCACATCTCTTTACTTATTTGCCTGTATCTCTCCCTTTCTGCAGCCACTCTCAGTCCCTGGGGCTTCACCTGCCTGCACCTCTCATTTTTGTTATTTTTTTGCATTACTTCAGCTCTCGGCAACTCTGCTCGTAGTTTCTGTCAATAGCTGCAAACTCTTCTTACGTAACAAATAAACAAAGAACAAACAAGTTAATCCCAAGCAGCGCACTGGCAATGGTGTTTCATCGTGGTTCTAGTGGGTAGCAACCATGCCCACATCAGGGTGTTGGAACTAGATGATCTTGAAGGTCCATTACAACCCAAGTCATTCTGTGATACTAGGATTCATAGCCAGACTGCAACAAGACAGAGGACAGAGGAAATGAAGCTCAACTGGTTTTCAGTTGCTTATGGGCAGCACAAAACACGTTTTTGTTTTTTGAAGCATCCAGGAGCATGGGGCAGAGGAGGGCACTGGATAGGCTGCATGGAGCTGGGCACGAAGCTTCTTGTCAGTGAGCATGGGGCTGTCACAGGAGGCATGGGCACACCCTCAGCGTTCATTTATATCCACAGGGCACAGGGACACGGGAGCAGTTCTAGCACAATACTTATCTTATACGACGTATAAGAAGTTGTTCTCTGGATTGATTAACTATTAGAATTCTCGGTGTTCTTGAATTTGAAATGACTCAGTTACTCTTAAGCTCAGCACACTTAAATATTACCTGTGTATTTAATCTGCATGATGCAGATTTCTAAGGCATTTAACACTGTAAGTTAAAATTAAAGCACTTACGCTTCTCTTAGTCATAGAAGTACAAAGCTCACTGTGTGTTGTGTAACTTTATGTCAGCAAAATCTAATGAAGCAACAATTATCTCCTGTCGACAGTTTGTCTTAAGATGGATCTGGCAGGAGGACAGTGAATTATAATGATAATTATTTCCTTTTCTTAATAAATCATTTTTTGCTTTTGTCCCAGTGTATTTGAACAGAAGCCAATCTTCAACAGAAAAAAACACAGAACAAAAGTCTGGTGCTTTAGCTGAAGAATACTGTTCTGCAAAGAATCCTTTCTGTTCCTCTCTCCAATGTACAGTAAATGAATTTTAATTCACAGCCAATCCACCTGTTAATCACTGTTGTTTGTTCCCCATGCCGGGAGAGCAAATTAATTTTGAAAGCATGACATGAGGCTGTTTTCCACTGTGCTTCTCTACAGCCTTGCAGAGCTCAAGTTTGCTCTGTTGAAGATTTAACCTCCTCCCTCGTTGCACAGCTGCACTGCTATGGATGCAGCATTAATTACATTTTTCTTCTGTTAGCTGTTGCCAGCTTTCATACATGTTTTTTCTTAGGATTCCTTAAAACAGAGGTCTCAAAGTAGGCTCTGTAATGCAGTCAGATGCTTATGAACAACACAGGAAAACTATTCAAATAACCCTTTGATCCAGATAACTCATCTCATAAAGCTCACTGGTATAACTCTGTCAGCAGAGAACATTTTCACATGTTTCACGGAAGGGAATTTGCTCCCATAACATTTTATCAATCCCAAATTTTGTGATTTCAGAAGAAAGCCTTAAGAAATACAAAATGTAGACTAAACTTAATTAGGATTATTATCCCGATCCTGATTAAAGCTTGGACATCCCATTAAGCACTAGCCCTCAAATGTTAACACTAAAGCCAAACTTCTCAGTATGAACATAGCAGACGAGAGGAAAAGTTTCTGAAGACA